TGTTCACACTGACACACATCTGTGTCACATATGAAGAAAAGATCAGATTTGGGCCACTTTTACCTATTGTGTGAACAAAGCCTGATATTTAAAGACCATGGCTGCTCATTTTTCAGCTGTATTTAAAATCTAAAAGTTGTGAAAAATGAGACCATTGTGCCGACAGCAGAGTTCCTTTTAGGCTTTTAATCGGAATAATGGTGAAAAATGCTGTTTAATTTCTTTGTTGCAGCTGAGGACATGCAGGGCAAGACAGAGGAGGAGATCGAGATGATGAAGCTCATGGGCTTCGGCTCCTTTGACACCACAAAGGTAAGATTTCAGAAATCACAGTGAGAATATCAGTTTTACTGATACCAAAGCCATCAACCTTCAAGTAAGTAACAAAGGAGATCCTTCGAAATCCATGCAGTGGTTTTTACGTCAGGATTTCTCAACCTGAAGCACTCTCTAGTGGTCCATGGGTCATGAACTCTGGGGAGGCAGTAGTTCGTAGAGGACCGGTAACGTCACTTTAACGTCATAAAAACATAAGTGGAAAAAAGATTAACTTAATTAAGAACTGAGAAGCGAATGTTTTTAAATTATAACTAATATACGTACAAATAAAACCACTGCACGTCATCAGTTTGAGACAACACAGCCGCAGACGTGCGATGCTGATAGTCAGTTTTTCTTTAGCTCATTCCGTTTTGACATCTGTGAAAACTCCACCTATTCAGCTCTGCAACAGACAGCTGAACTGTGGTCTGCTTCCAAATGAACCCTGGCTGCTGGTGGGAACACAGTCTGTGATGAAACAAGGGGATTCGTCGACAGAGCTTGCATTCCTCTTCTAGCAGCACGCAGGCGCTGTGCCATCAGCATGATCTGCCTGTTCTAACGTCTGACTCTTTACAGACCCTCATTTACTCTCGTTTCTGCATCACGAGCTGCAGTAAAATAAAATAATAGTGAAGATATAAGTTTGATTTTGGCTCGTGGATCAGAACGTGTTTTTGGCCGAGCATCAGCAATGTGAGTAAACCAAAGACAAAGAAGCAGATATAAAATAAGGGTTATTATTATTGTTGATTGTGACGACACTCATCCAAAAGCCTAGTGAGTGGACTGAGGTTTGTCTGTTTCAAATGAATCTCGAAACCCCTCAAAACGAAAGAGAAATTTCGAGACGAGTATTTTCAGTGAAAACACGATGCATTGCAGCTCCAAATCGCAGTCCACATCTACCTCGCACATTTCTATACTTTTTGCTTTTTTGACCTTTTTTAACATCTCAGCAAATATTTTTTTAACATAACTGCAAATTTTGGAACCTGTGATTGAGCCAAAATGGACGATCTTATCTGATTCTCAGGTTTTCAGTTAAGAGGAAAAGTAAATCGAATTTAAAATGTTGATTTTAGTTTTTCTGTGGGCTGCTATTCTTTGTAGTTATAAACAGGTGGGCCTTGGGGTAGAAACAGTTGAGAACCCCTGCTCTATGTTACTCAGAAATTATTGTAAAATGCTAAATGAGTAATCTGGCTCATTTTAAACAGCCTTTGAACTGTTTATCATGGCGATTTTGAAAACACAAACATTTTTCCCATTTTGTTTGCCAGCAAATTAACCTTAAATGTTTTTTCTGCATTTTTTACATACAGACCATTTACATAACTAAAAGAGAAATAAAACAGCAAACAAATCAGAAATGCGCAGTAATGTTTGGCCTTCTTGTTTACACCAGTGTTGGGCTGGTTGGTAATATAATCGATCACGGCAACAGATAGAGAAAGCCTTACATGATACTGCTGCTGACCACATGATGGCGCAGTCCCCCAACATTTCTGACTAATTAGAGTTTTCACAAAGCTTCAGTATACATTACTGTATTGTTATATATTATTATATTATTTTAAAAGTAATGGAATTACTTTGAACATTTTGTAACTGGTTATATTTATGTATATACAGGGTGTCCGAAAAAAACTGACATCATTTGAGATGTGAGTATCTGAGTAACTACATGTCCTGACAAACGAAATGAAACAGGCTTCATGTTGAACAACACAAGATTTATTTATCAAAATTCGAACAAAAATTTCAGAGGAGTGTAGATTTTATAACCAATTTCACAAAGCCTCACAAACGTAATATCTTCCGATACTGGTGGTCGTTCAGATCCCTTCGCTCTGCACAGACAGCCTTCCTCTTTGAATTTTTTGTGCCATGTCCAAATCTGCTGTCCAGCTGGTGCATTTTTATTGAATTTTCGGGAAAATGCACGCAGCACACTCGTTTGACTGTGTTGGAGCATATTCTAACACACAAAATGCCTTTTCATTTCTAGTGAACGCCATTCTTCAACCTGAAAAAAACATTAAAAATTAAACTTGGTTAGTTTTTACACATTTTGTTAAAATTTTAGATCATTTGAGGGAGAATCGGCTGTTATTAGACCACGAAATTATGTCAATTTTTTTGGGACACCCTGTATATACACACCCACAAATGAAATGTGCAAAAGATTTGTTAAACTCAGCAAATAAATACAGATTATGCTCTAAAATTGGCAGAAAAGGCTGTATTTTCATTTAGACACTCAGCAAAATGTTGAAACCTACTGTTCACACTTATGCTTGTGAGTGACTGAGTGAGTTTGTATGTATGTATGTATGATATCTTGGTGTCTCCACAGGGCAGGAAGGTGGACGGTTCTGTCAATGCATATGCTGTCAATGTGACCCAGAAGAGAAAATACAGGTAAGTTTGTTTGTTTCAGTTGTTTTTTCCTTTTTAATATTGAATACAGTTCAATTAATGAACTGTATTCATTACTTGAACTGCAGTATATCACAATCTGGGCTCCATTTGGACAATGAACATTTTTACTTCTGTTGCCTTTTTGTCTCAAAATTATTACTTATTTTCTCGGAACTGCTACTCTGACTACTATGTCAAAATAATGACTTATTTTCTCAATACTTGGCTGTTATTTCAACATACTAAGTCCTGTTTTCTCAAACATGTGACTCAGTAATTTCAGTGTGTTGAAATATTGGAATTATTTTCTCAAAATCATGACTTATCTCAGGATGATGACTTGTCTTGACTTAATAGCTGACTTTCTGAAAATGTAGTAACTCGTTATTTTGGCCTAGTAAGTCAAACGTTTGAAATAAGTAAACATTTTGAAAAAATAACCCACTGTTTTCACATCATAAGAGGAAAGTGTCAAGATAGTAAGACATTTTGAGGTCATTATTTCATTGGAAGTCAAAATCCTGTGAAAATAAGTCATTATTTTGAGATTTGAAGTCAAACTTTTGATGTAACTCTTCCAGTAACAGATGAAACAGGGCTGATTTCATGGCATGGAGTTATATCCCTATAATCATTGTTGCTCTCTGAGTAATTTTGATTTATATGCTGATATGATGCACTTTTTTATTTTCTGGTGTCAAAAAGGATGAAACCAAGTCAGAGTCTTCTGGAAAACTCTTCAGCTGTTTATTTTCTATTGATGACTGTGTTTCTCTTTCCAGCCTGCTCACTAAATTTATATGCACGTTCATTAAATGGTAACAAGCTTTAGATTAATATGCTGACTGCATGCACAACGGAAAACAGTGCAAGATGCTTGTGTCACAGCTGAGGATCCATCACTGTGTGAGAATTTGCCTGGTCAGGGCGTGTATCTGTTTTCATTCTGTGTACATGTGTCCACTGCCTGTTTTGAGCAATAGCATATTGTTTGGTTGTGCCGTCAGTAGCAACTGCCTGCTTTGCAGCCAATCGCAGCTGCAGGTGCTTCACAGCTCAGAGACGAACCTTCCCATTGGCTGACGATGATGTAATATGTTGGTGCAGAGGGGAGATCAATGATGTAATCATATTTTCTTTTACAGGCAATATATGAACAGGAAAGGTGGGTTCAACAGACCTCTGGACTTCATCGCTTGATAAAGGACGCATAAAAAGTCACGCTCAAGGTTTCGACGACTTTGGTTCCGCTTTGCTCCGTGTAACTTTGTTCTGCTGCGTACAGTTATAGAATAGTTTTATTTTTTACCTTATGACTACCTTTCATTGCCTGATGTCTTTGTGGATGTTTGTGGAAGGACTTTGACACTGCTGTGGATAGCTTGAATTTGTGTTGTGGTTTCAAATTGAAATAAACTTTGAAAAATGACAACAGCAAACATTTTCTTGTTTTTTTTTTTTCCCCTAATATTAACTTCTATGATCATCTATAAGTCATTGCATGTGTTATAGGCCTAAAACCACCACTCACCCTCAAAGTCAACTTTTATACTGCACTTAATCAGCCGTTATATCAGGTCATACTGACAAATCAGAGCAGCTGAAGTATGTAAAAAATAATGAACTTTTATTTAAAATAATTAAATCAAAAGGTCCAACAGTGAGACAGCATGTTGGCAGGTATTGCACTGGGTACTTTCATGTGTGGATTACTGTTATTATAACACTGTAATAGTAAATATGGCCCTAACTGTAACAGTAACATGCATATGTAGAAATGAGAGGGAGAGTATGTGTATATGTATAGAATATAGAATTATATTTCATGCTATACATTTTATTCTACTGTATTTTTAATTTAAACGTGTATTTTTTGTATCGTGATGCTGCTGGAACACCCTTTTTCCTTTAGGGATTAATAAAGTCTTATTTTAAATTGGTTACGTGGGTTTGAATGTGAAAAACAGCGCAAACTCATGGTCCCACCGGCCAAGCCGCTCTGCCCAAGTCTCAGTGGGATTTCTGCAAAACAGCATGTGCGAGGGGGGCGTGTCTGACACTGCTTTCTGAGGGGGGGGGGTGTTGCTTTCTGGCCAATCACATCCAAGGATTTCCAGGGTTGTGGCTTTTTAGCCAATCGCTGCAAAGGAGTTCTGGGGGTGTTGCCTTTTTGGGCCAATCAGGAGCGGCTACACCACGGCCAGGCGACCAATCGCGATTTAACAACAAACGTAGCACGGAGTTCGCAGCCCGTCTGAAAATCATTCGGCATTTCGGAAGAAAGTCGCTTCCAAACTGATTTATTCTCCGTTTCGTTTTTCAACGAAAAAGCACAGCGAACAACAGGAAAACCTGCTTCCTGCGAGCGCTCACCGCGAAGGCGGAGCAGAGCCAATAGGAACGCGGCCTGCGGTGGCGCTCGACCAATAGGAGAGCGGATCCCTCCGGTTTCCATGACAGAAGTTACAGTAACATGACAGTCGCTCACCAAGCTGCCTGCGGGAGCGACGTCAGTTTAGCATCTCCGCTTTTTTAAAATTATCTTTGACTGATTTCAGTTGCTCCTAAGTTAGCTGGGCTTAGCCGCTGGTTACAATCGAACGTTATTGCTTTTCTTGGTTTTTTTAAAACTATCTTTGATCAACCTGCTCCTTGCAGCCCGCTGGACAGTAATGTAGCTCAGTTAGCGACATTATAGCGAAAAAATAAACTCGAAACCAGCTGATTTGGTCTGAAACTGAAACTTGACCGACCAAAACAGACAACTACGACATTTTTCTTTGTTTTTTTTAAGCGTTTTTCTCCAACTGACTTGCTTTTTAAACGCATTTGTTACTCGACTAGCAGCTGGGCTAGCTAGTTTAGCCTAAATAACCGACACAAAACGGAGACAGTCGGTTAACTAACAGTTAGTTAGTCAACAAAGGGAATTATTAGCTGTTTGGCTGCATTTCGGACCTGCTTTTTCGTTGTTTGTCCTCCAAAGCTGCCTCTGGTAACGTTATAGCCTGCAAGCTAACGGCTTTGTCGGTTAAAACCCAGTAAAACCAGTGCTATTCCAGTAAATAAACCACAACATACTGCGTCTAGGTACCTTCAACAGTGTTTCAGACAGGCTGGCTTATCCAAGAAAGCAAAGCTGGTATTTAACGTAGCTAACGTAACAGGGTTGAGAGCAGCGTTAGGCTTGTTTTGACAACTTCATCAGCGCATTTTCATGTCAACCCCGTGTGTTTTTTATTCTCAAGGCCTTCGTTTTGTAGCTCTTTTGTTCAATTTACTTTCCATGGACCTTCCGAAAGCCAACCTTTGCTGATTTAGTTAGCCAGCTTTGCGAATGTAATGTGGAGCAGCAGCTAACAGCTAACAGGAGAGGCATTAAAACCACTCTGGAGGCTTTTTTCACTCGGATTCAGACCCAGTTTGGACCCTTTTTCACTCCGTTTATTTACATTTATTTTGTTTTGCAGTTATCAGAATCACTCGGGGGGGAAAAACCAGCGCAGGCTTAAGCTAATCTGTCAAAGGGCACATCTTTCTTATCAGAGCGGAATAAGCTGCTATTAATATCACCCAGATATTCCAGATATCGACATTGTTTTTTGCTTGTTTTTCCCCTTTTTTTTGGGCCTGGGGGTTTTTTAATGTCCAGCTTAGCTTAGCTTGTTTTTTTATTCTCCAACATCCAGCACAGCCGCCGAAACGGAGAGGGAACAACAGACAAACAGCGGGCAGCTTGTTTTCCTATTTCTGAGCCGGAGTGTCATTTTTATTATATCGGCTTGTTATTGTTGAAAATGGCCGCCATCGGGATGGTGCAGATGTTGATCGAAGCTGCTGAGTATCTTGATCGCAGAGAAAGAGGTAAATATGCATGCAATCATATATTTTTTAAGAGAGAGAGAGACAGAGAGAGAGAGAGAGAGAGAGAGACCATTGCTACACCACCATTGTTGCCAGCTTCAGGCTCACCAAACTCCACCAGCATCAAAAAAGCACACAGAAAGCTCTCCTTTAACCTACTTTATCAAGCCAAGATAGTGGAGAAATAGCCCCACAGGCTGTCAGCATGGATGGGCCAGTACGTGGTCAGTCCTTTCAGGGGATACTAATATGGTCTGACATGGTGTTGTGCCTCCTTCCAAGCTCTGTGATGGTGATGGACCTGTGTGCCTTGCATGAATGGACGTCTGTATTAGGGATATGTCTGCATTTGGGTGGACTATCTTTGTTTTGGCTGCTCAATGTGGGATTAAAATCCGTTTTCTAGTGATAGAGGCTTTCCTAGCGCACCCTTTCCCCTGTATCTGTTGTGGTTTGGCTGGCTGCTGGGTTTACTCGAGTTCAGATGACATCATTGACCCAAAAGCAGTAGATTTTGCACAAAATGGGAGTCTGTTTGCTCCTAATTCATCAAATAACACTTTCGAGAGCGAACCTACCAATTTTGCATGAGCTCCAGTGCTGCATACAATCGGAAGAGTGTTTGTTTTGCCACTGTTGTTGTTGTTATTGTTGATATTATTATTATTTATTTATTTATTTTTTTTTTTTTTACAGAAGCGGAACATGGATATGCCTCAATGCTACCTTTCACCAGCCACAAAGACAGGGACGGCTCCAAACGGAAAAACAAAAACAAGAAAAATTGCAGCAGCAGGTAAATGTGACCTAGTTTCCGAACGCAAACGGGCCCCGTATGGCCGTCCTATGCGGTCAGCCAGGTCTTTTCACAAACACAGTGGTCATTCCTAACAACTCACAGCCAGGAAGGGTTATTTGGGGTGTCCAGGCGTCCGTCCCACCTCCTCCTTCGACACGCCGTGGAGATCAGTAAGCTGTGCCTGGTTTGGGGCCGGAAAAGCTCTCCGCAGTCCCTTCAGGAGCGCTACACCACCACCACCACTACCTCCTCTCTGCTACTCACAGTCAGCATGTTTTTACACCCAGGCTCTATTTCTGTCGGCCAGCGTGGCTGTAGCCAAGATAAATAGATACGGAGGGGAAAAAAATACCATAAATTAGTTCTCTTAAAGGCGCTGCAGTCCTGCAGATGCTCTTCAGATAAGCCATAGGTTGAAATCTTGCAATGAACATCTCTTAAAATATGACTTTACCGGTATCTAGTGCTGTCTACCCTGGTTGGGTCGTTACTGTACATCCAGAATGTGCAATATTAGGGGTGTAACAGTACAATATGTCATATTATGCCACAACAGGTCATATTGAACCATTGTATAATTACTGGCATGTCAGCTTAAGGCTTGGGCAAGCTAATTTTTTGCTGTATCGAATCAGGATACCAATGTTTCATGTCCAGTCATTCTGAATTTTGTCAATCGTAGCAACCCTACAGCATATTCTACTGTATCGTAACACATATTATATTGTATTATTGCATCTTGACTGGCGTGTCAGCTTACTGCGAGGGTTTAAGCTCGGTCTAACACATTAGCTTGTAGCTAGAGCGTTAGATCAGCTGCGTTCCAAAGCCTAGTCTGCATTTCTCAGCCGCTTCGTCATAGAAGGCCGCTCCAAAGTGAAGGACCCTTCGCATACAGCCTAGAAATGCAGCCTACGTTCTGGGTGATTTGAGGGACGCTTTAGATGTTTCCTTCCCGGCCTTCGGTTACCCACAGTTTGCTGCGCAGGAGAAAATAGGGTAAAACAAAGCTGCTGGAGCTTGTTTTAAAATGTAAATTGTTCTTGTACTTGAATTCGTCTTCGTTACCTTATAAAGTGTAAAATCACTGATTAAAGTATATCGTCTATATATCATGTTTTATTTAGAAGTATTTGTAAATATGTAGTTTATCGTACTACATAAGAACATCTGCTTTTCCGTGAAGAATTGAAAAAGCAACAAACTCAATGCAACAGGCTCCATTTTCTCTCACCAGTTCCCTCAAGAAGTTTGGTGACGTAACCATTCAGCCTCATTAGTGCTGCTCCATTTGTGTGACCAATATGCTACTAAGGAGGAGTCTTCATAGGACAGTCCTACCAAGGACCCAGCCTGCCTCGGCTGGAGCCTCAGCTTTGGAACGCAGCTAATAAAACGCAGCTTTTGTTTTAAATATTGTACTTTTATTATGCTGAGTGCTTTGATAAGCCAAAAATGAAAACTGACATATTAATGTAAAGCACATTTTAGTCACTCTTCATTTTTACTGTATCGAATTAAGACAGCGCCGTATCGTATTAATCAAATTCTCAATTTTATGAACTGTCAAAGCTTTACACACCTTACTGTATCGTACTACGGTGTATTATTTTTATTGCATCATGACTTTCATGTTGGCTTATGGCTTGTATGTTAGCTTGGGGCTAATGTATTAGCTTGTGGCTGTAGCGTTAATTCAGGAGACTATAAAACAAAGCTTTTGTTTAAAAAGTTTGTACTGTTACAATAAAAAGCGCCATAGATAGATAGATAGATAGATAGATAGATAGGAAAGAGGGAACCTTAACATATTTCCATAAGGCACATTTCAGCCGCTGTATTGAAAAATATATGGAATTTAGATGCAAGTGTATCGTAAGAAATCCAATTCAGACATTTGTGAAACGTAAAAACCCTACAACTTATCCTACTAAGGCCCAATCCCATTTCTTATTTTTAGCCCCACCCCTTGTTTTCGAGTGTCACCTTGCGTCTTGGAACTGAGTTACAAGCAGTAGTGGGTGAAATCTTCCCTATGAAATGGGACCCTCAAATAAAAAGAGCATTACTTAATTTATACTAGCGCTGCTCTGTAGGCGACCCTGCCAGTCTGCAGTGACAGCAGAGGAGGGTAAAGTTCAGCTCCTCACTGCTGGGCTTCAGTTACATTTAGGGCATCATATGATATTCAAAGAGGGGGGCAATTATTTATTATCACCCACCCCTAATTCTTCATTGATATGAAGCTGAAGTCAGATATTCTCCAGCTTCTCGTTCGAATTTTCCCGTTCCACCTTAAATAGTGCCGCAGTTCTGGTGCCTGAGGAGCCAGAATGCACCTGCTACACCGTTTAAGGTGGAACGGGAAATTTAGCTAGCTAGCTACCGAGACATTAGTATACTACTAGCAATTTTTTATGCTTGTTTTGAAGAAAAGGCCCTAAATACATTGAAACGACATTAAACTAAGGTAATACAGTGGTTATTGTAATTTTTTAACAGAGAAAATTCTCACATTTGTGGGTTTCTTTGGTCTCTAGTTCAGCCGCCTTGCCGGTTTTTCTTTTTTTCTCATAACTCTCTGTTTGGGGTCTCTGAAAAACCTCAGCTTAGAGGGTCTTGTAGCCCCAACACTTCGCCCCACCCCTCTATCTCGACAAGAATCAGGACACCCTACCCCTAGACGTGAACGCGCAAAACGGAGGGGTAGGGCTAGGTGGTAGGGGCGAGGGGTGAAATGGGATTGGGCCTATATCGTAACGTATCGTGTTGTATTGTTGCATCCTGACCAGCGTGTTAGCTTGGGCCTAACATATTAGCTTGTAGCTAGAGGGCACAATAAAGCACAGCTTTTGTTTCAAATATTGTATAATGCTAAATGCTCTAATCTGAAAATGGAAACTACTGTTAATGTAAGACACATTTCTAGCTACTCTTTATTTTTACTGCATCGCAAAAAGGTATCGAACTAAGATACCACTGCGTCGTATCGAATTGAATTCTGAATGGTGTGAATCGTTACACCCCTACAGTGTATCATATTGCGTCATAACACATGGTATTGCATCGCTGGCTGCCGTGTTAGCTTGTGGGTGCTGTGAAGCACAGGACCCATTTAGTGTTTCTGTGCTTATGCAGTCTGAATGCAAGACGTTACTGGCTCTAATGTTGGACTTTTATAATGTTAAAAGCTCTTATAAACAGAAAATTGAAGCGTTAACATATTAATATTAACATAAGGCCAATTTGGAGCTTATTTATGCTGTATTGGGTGCATCAAACAAATTATTAATTTTGCGAATTGTTACACCCCTGCGCGTTTTTTAATGTAATGTTATGTATAATCGCTGCCAGGACCAGTATCTTCAACAGCATAACAGGCTAATTTAAGCGATCCAGCTGCCTTTCCCTTTGATGAATAAATAAGTCATGTCTTGAAAGATCAGACACAGCCCACAGGCTGAATGGATAGCCAGTTAGCGAAAACCCATTTTACAGAACACTGATATGTTGTTCAGCCTCTGCACCACCTTAGCGAATACAACCCAGCTTGCGCTGCTTAGACCCATCATTAACATGCATCTGCTTATCGTATTCAAGTGCCTCGTGTGACTCGAAGATCAGTGGAGTCCACATGGATCTTCATCACGTCTGCGTGACCATAAACACGCCCACTGATTCATCAGCCTTTCAGATCCTGTTCAGACATGCTGTCCCTTATTTGCTTCAGAGAGAGACGCACACACTTGTTTTTATCTAGCGTCGTTCATATGTCCCACTAGTATTATCTTCATGTGAGTAACTGTATGTAATGGCAATATGTTTTGTGTGGATTATATACAGTACTCTGGAAAAGTCAGAGAGCCCTGCATTTATCTCATTTACAGTCAGAACAGCCATTAAGTACAAGATATTCATTTTTCAGTGTCTGGAAAAAGAAACACAAACATAAATGTAGCAGAAAATTACACAGAAGCCTCAACAACTAATATATATCAGGTTTTTTGGTGTTCAGTGAGTCACTCTTTCCCTTTATTCCAGCTTCCATTCCTTTCACAAGACTCACTTTCAGTTCCTCAAAGAATCTGCAGACACATCTCCAAAGTTCAGTCTTAGAAGCTGGTTGATCATTTTCTGAAGTAATCAAACACATTCAGTGGTGTTGAGGTCTGGACTCTGGGGTGGTCAGTCCATCGTTCAGCTTCTTTGTTTGATGTGTCCGTCTCCTTTTCTCAGTGAGGTTCTTCTTGACAGCTACACATCCTTTCAGACCCACAGCGCTGAGTCGTCTTCTCACAGTGGAAGGATGGACAGAAACACCTGTGGATGTTTTCAGATCTGAAGCAAGAGTGCAGTCTTAAAGAAGATGGTTCCTCAAGGGTTCTTTAGTAAAGAAAATGGTTCTGTGTAGAAACTCTTTGTATGATTAAAGGGTTCTTTGCATGGTGAACTGGTTTTTCAGATTGATGAAGAATGTGTTTTATATGGTTCTATATAGAACCTTTTTGATAAGGTTTCCATATTGCACCAAAATGGGTTCTTCTAGTATTATGATGTCAAGCTTTGCACAATAGAAGAACCCTTTTTGGTGCTATATGGAACCCTTTTCAAAAAGGTTCTATATAGAACCTTCTACAGCACGTTCTCCATCAATCTGAAGAATGCTTTCATGATGCAGAAATCCTTTAATCATGCAAATGGTTCCCTCAGTGTTCATGGTTCTGTATAGAACCATTTTTACTAACGAATAGTACTATATAGAACCCTTTTCGAAAAGGTTCTATGTAAAAGCATCTACAGCACATTCAACAATAATCTGAAGAACGCTTTCATGATGCAAAGAAGCCTTTAATCATGCTGAGGGTTCTTTTAGTGTTCATGGTTCTAAAAAGAACTACTTTTTTTTTTTCGACTAAAGAATGGTGCTATATAGAACCCTTTCCAAAATGTTCCATATAGACCAACTACAGCACATTCAACATTAATCTGAAGAACGC